AAACTATAGTCTGGTCCTCCAACGGGTCTGAGAGACAGTGAACTGGCCCCCTGTTTAAAAGGTTTGAGGACCCCTGATCTAGTCTAACCAGACTAACACATGTGCTGAACATATTATTTATTATTCTTTTGAAATGTTTAGGTATCTGTATCTTTCCTGATATTGGTAATTTTTCTCTCTCTTTCTGTAAGTCTTACTAGAGCTTGATTAACTTTTATTGATTTGTTCCCTCACAAAACAGGTCTGTAAATCATTGCTTTTTCTATTGTGCCTCTCTCTTTTAATTTCATTGACTTCTGCCCTTTATTTCCTTTCTTCTGATTCCTTGGGCTTATTTTATCCTTTTTCTAAGGTTCTAGAAATGGAAACTTCTAGACATAGTAGTCAAGAGATCAGATGACACAATGTATTGGGTAAATCTGCTGCATCAGACCTCTGTAGAGTTCGGGAAAGCAAAAATGTTACTTTGAGGACCAAGGGGCACCACTGTATTTTCAATTGCCTCATATGCATGAGAAAGTTGGACACTGAATAAAGACAACCAAAGAAGAATTGGTCCATTTGAATTGTGGTGCTGGAGATGAAAATTGAAAGTACCATGGACTGCTTAAAGGAAAAGCAAATCTGCCTTAGAAGAAGTGCAGCTAGAGTGCTCTCTAGAGACAAGGATGGCAAGACTTTGTCTCACATTGCCAGGAGAGACCAGTCCCTGGAGAAGGACGTCAGGCCTGGTAAAGTAGAGGGTGAGTGAGTAAAAGGAAAGCCCTCAAGGAGATGGATTGATACAAGGGCTGCAACAGTGGGCTCAGGCATAGGAGCAATTGTGAGGATGCACAGGAGCGGGCAGTGTCTGGTTGTGTGCACACGGTCACTGAGTCAGAATGGACTCACACATACCTACCAACAAGCGAAGTCAAAACTTAGATTACCGGTGATAGTTTTTCTTTTCTAATGCATACATTTTAATGCTATACATTTCCTCCATACCACTGTTTTAACTGTGTTCCCACAGATTTTAATATACAATTTTTCATTTGCACTGATAGTCATCAGGTGAAATGAACTCAAAACCAATCTACGAAACTTTAAAGTAAGCTGTTCACCGTAAGAAATGCTTCATTCAGTGTTTTCTCACTTCGTGTTAGCTTTATACTCCAAATTCAAAGCACTAGGCTATTTTCTCAATGGAAAATAATTTTCTAGTATTCCTACATTTAAAGAAAAAGTCATTTAGTTTTTATTTAACTCACTAACTTCAATGATCTCTACACTGGCAGAAAATAGCCATTCTATATGCTATTTGTTAGCTCCCTATACATTATGTACTCATGTTCTGAAATGAAAGACAATATAGAGAGAGGGCATGTGTGGCATTATACTCATATGTGTCTATTTGTTACATCCTAAATTCATGGTGGAATTTTACCATCTTATTCATAAGGGAAAAAATACATAATGACAGGTAGATTTTTCTTTATAAGGTACTTAACATTTTTTGTTCAAAACTAGTTTAAATAACTGCTTATCATGAGAACTGTTACGTTTTATAATTCCCAGAAACATGGCTCATCAGAACCAATTGATCCGGGTCCAGAAATCTTGCTCAGCTGTTGACCTAACTCTAGGCCTAGACTTTCTTATCCTGATGAAGAGTAATGGTGTACCAAAAATCTTACCACGACATACAAACTCTTAAGGCGATGTACTAAAACAACAAGAGAACTTTGTCAGCATTGCATTCTGGTTTTGAGCCCATCTGTTAAAAAAAAAAAAAAAAGCTCTCTTTGGACTTAACCACATCATAATGACAAGGACAATAAGAAAAAGTGGGGAAAAATCAGCAATGGCTATAATTACTTAAACCATGCTCAGTACCGTACCAGGAACTTTCTATAGGCTATCTCATTTAATTCAACATGTCTTTTCTATAGGTAGCTTTATCCTCATTTTGTATCTATGAAGCTTGCAGCTCAGAGGGTACATGTCCAAAATTACACAAGTATTGAATAGTGAACATTCTGACCCCAGTCCCTTTACTTTCAAAATAAAAAAGCATCTAATGTCTTCAGACTTGTCGTCAACGTGTTTATGAAGACAAAGAAATGATGTGTAAATGGAACTAAAAAAGCCAATTGTTTAATAAGAAATATCATTTCTTAAAGATACAATAGAATGTGGTTTGTCTTTTTATATACAGAACATAAAAGTAACTAGTTTTCAGAGGATTCAGCCAACAAATACATTAGTGGCCACCTGAAAACTACAGCAATTGAGTTAGTTCAGTAGACTACAGGACAGGCTGTTAATCATTGTTAAAGGCCCTGAACATAGTCTCCTCAGATGCTAAGCAAGGAAATTAATAAGTAAATTATTGTGTGAGGAAGGTGTATTTTATTTTAGTCTAAGGCACAGAGATAGTTAGCAGCTAAACCATTAGACCAAAAAAAAAAAAAAAATCAAACTATCTCTCAAAAGAGCAATGACTACCACACTTGAATCAAATAATACCAAAGAATGGGGTGCAGGACAACAATAATTTTACTACTATCTGACCAATATTTCTCACCCAAGGTAAAGGTAGATATTTCTAAGGCAAAAAACAAATACAGGAATTACATTCACTAAATAGTATCCTGATACCTTTAAAATTTTAGGACTTTTTCATGAGGTGTCAATAGGATCAGGTATCAGGCAGCAAAGACCCAGAACAAAAAATCTTATCATTGTGAATGCGGGAGAGTATGGAGTGGAGACCTAAAGCCCATCTGTAGACAACTGGATATCCCCTTACAGAAGGGTCACAAGGAAGCACCATTGAAGCATACAACTTTCGTCTAGTTCCTTAATGCTTCCTCCCCACACCCTCTCATGACCCCAATTCTACCTTACACATCTGGCTAGACCAGAGCATGTACACAAGTACAGATAAGAACTGAAAACACAGAGAATCCAGGACAGATAAACCCCTCAGGACCAATAATGAGAGAGCAATACCAGGAGGGGAAGGGGAAGGTGGGGGAAGAAATGGGGAACCAATCACAATGATCTACATATAACCCCCATCCCTGGGGAACGGACAACAGAAAAGTGGGTGAAGGGAAACAGTGGTCAGTGTAAGATATGAAAAAAATACTAATTTATAAATTATCAAGAGTTCATGAGGGGGAGAGGGGGGCAGAGAGAGAGGGGAAAAAATGAGGAGCTGATACCAAGGGCTCAAGTAGAAAGAAAATGTTTTGAGAGTGATGATGGCAACAAATGTACAAATGTCCTTGATACAATGGATGGATGAATGTATTCTGATATGAGCTGAATGGGCCCCCAATAAAATGATTAAATAATAATAAAAAATTAGGGCTCCTTTTGGGTAGACCAAAAATAAAAGGATATGTGGGGGGGGGGAAGTGGGGGCATGTGGGTAGAAGAAGAACAGCAATAAAGTTGAAAAGTGAACCAAAAATTTGAAAATGTAATCAGAAAAATTACTTGCCCAATTTGACTAAACATCATATTATGTATACTAAATCAAGATGAATGGTAAAAGTGTACAAGGGAAAAATCAGAAACTAGATCTTTAGCCACACTGTAAGGAATGCAAAAAGATCAAGAATAATGTAAACAAGTTGCAATGCAAATATATTTTATAATCTTAAGAATAATAATCCTTCAAATATCTCCTAGTAAGTAAGTAAATGTGTACTTACTAAAGTTCCAATGCTTTCAAACCATCTTTTGGTTTGGTTTTCTTCCTCTTCTTTTTTCCTTGTCTTTTTTTTTTTTTGCTTTCAGTTTTACTAATAAAAACAACTATGATAATATGGTCCTGTTTTACTACTGTTCCAGTAGTACTAGGTTATAATAACATCTAAAACTTTAATGTTTAAAAATATTATCTGTTAATTTCCATTCAGTTCACTTAATAATTTACAAATAAGGACCTCTACCTCACATTTTTATTAACAAAACATCTTCACAGCCATCATCTCAATTTATTCTCGGAACACACTCATATGTCCTAGAACATAAGAAAAGCCAACATTCATACCACTCCCATTTTAAAAACAGTCAAACTGGGGAAAAAAAGAAGTCGGGTGGCCAGGGTCAAACCACCGAGGCCACCTGCAGACGAGTCCAGGCTGCACACAATAGTAATTCACGAGTCACTGCAGTAGTCCACTGCCTGCACACACACGACAAGCTTCCTAGGAAGTTATCGCGCCTTCAAATATACTAAATTTTCTACTCACCCCAAAATGAAGATAGCTTCAGTTCTTATGCTCCCACGTCAGTTCGATGAAGTGTCTCAAGGTGTCCTACACATAAAGATAAATGAATAAAAGTAAAATAACATTAGTCTTAAAGCATAATGGAAATAACATTTAAATACATTTTGTTCTTCATACTTTACTTTATATTTTTATTTAGGTTCAAAATCATATGGAGGAGGAAAGTTAAAGAGGAAAGAGATCAAGAAGTATCAGATATTGTGGTAGGCACAATGACAAGCTATCTAATCCTTATAATAACTTAGGGAAGGTTACTAATATTCTATGACTCAAATTAGGATTTGAATTCATATCTAGTCCCCAACAAGTCAAAGGCATTTTATTTTGTATCTTTTCATTATCTTCTGCCACTTTATAAACTATAAAATAGGTACATTAATTTATTCTTTATGTAGTTATACATGTATATTCAGTTCAAGGCTTATAAAAAATCAGAGTAATAAGCAGGATCTTTAAAATGCAAATGGTTTTTCAAATTAGGTTTAAAACACATTTTCATATATACTATTTGATGTTTAAACAATCTGTAGGGGGATTTTTCTAACTAAATCAAAATTTTGCTAGTAATAGAACAAAAGCAAGGTATGTGATTTTAAACAAAAATAATTAACACCATATCATTTTTTTGAAAACAAACTGTAATAATTACAGTAGTGCTGACTGCTTTGTCACATAAGTCTGACAGTAATTAAAATGGACTTTGAATAAGGTATATTTAAGTTAAATCCCAAATATTTGAGTTAACAGCATAGAAATATTGAAGATTAGCATTTCATTCAATGGTTCAAATTCTCATAAAATAAATTCTGACTTGTCTAGACACATATATGACAGCTTCAGGAAAGCCAAAGGCTAAATTAAAAAGTTCTATAGCCCACTAAATTTGTCATGTAGTCCGTGTGCCAAGCTTCTGCATTTTACTCAAAGAAGCTGCCCTCAAGCTTGGTTTAGATCTTCTTTAATCTGATTTTAGAGAATGTTCTAATGAAGATAGGAATCAAATCAATCTAAAGCTGGTTAAATATATTGGCTAGAAGTATAACCTTTGAATTTTAAATCTAATGAAGGTAAATGTAATGATAGAAGAGAGAAATTCGTAGGTTATAATAATAAATTAAAATATGAGCTATGAAAGAAAAATTGTATAAAGCATCCTAATACTAATAAAAACCATGCATATATCTATAGTCTCCATGGACATACTATATTACAATCCCATTAACTAGCATACACACTGATGAACTTTGACTTTACTTAGGAAGGATAAAAAGTGTCTGATGTTTGTGAGAACAGCTACCATCCTAAATAGTTAACAAAACCCTGATGTTTGCCGAAATATACTTTAGTTCATGTATAAAGAAGCATATCCCTAGTCAATCCTTATAATTGAAAAGTTATTCTAGTGAAAGGAATGAGTATTGGGCTCTTGGAATTCAGAATACCAAGTTGCTGGGGCGGCACTATTAAATGGATTACCCTTGTGAGGGCTGGAGGTTCACACTTATCAGTGGTTCCATGGCAACTTTCTCCTCTGTCAGTTTGTCATTCGATAGTAGCCTGTATGTTGCTGTGATCCTAGAAGATGTGTCACCAGTATTTCAAAGACCAGCAAGGTCAAACAAAGTGAAAAGGCTTCAGCACAGCGTTCAGACTAACATGAAACTACAAAGAAGGAAGAGGCTTGTCCACTGAGGAATTAACCACAGAAAGCCACATCAATGGCAGAAACACACAGTCAAATGTAGTGCCAGAAGATGAGCCCCTCAGGCTAGAAGACAGTGAAAATAGAACCAGGGAAGAGCTGCCTCATCAGAATTGGTGATAATGATGTGCATGGAATAAACCTTTCAGGACCTTCCCTTGCTAGTGGGGCCTGACTCAAAATGTGAAGGAACAGCTACAAACATCCATTACTAAGTAGAACATGGAATGTATACAGTATGAATATGGGAAAATTGGAAGTCATAAAAAAATGAAAGGAAACACATAAAAGATCAATATGCTAGGCATTGGTGAGCTGCAATGGACTGGTATTAGCCATTTGAATCAGAAAGTCATATGATTTACTATGCTGGGAGGGGCAAATCCAAGAAGAATTCATCATCAAAAGTATATTAAATTCGATGTTTGTTAAGATAATATCTATATGCCTAAACTGAAGTTAATACAACTATTATTCAAATTTATGCACCAATCCCTGTAGCTAGGGAAAATGAAGTTGAAGAACTTTATCAGTTTCTTCAATCAGAAATTGATCATATATGCGATCAAGATGCATTGATGATTATTGACAATTGGAATGCAAAAGTTAAAAACAAAGAGGGAGGAACATCTGTTAGAAAATATGGTGTTTGTGATAGAAATAAAACTGAAAATTGCATGATCAAATTTTGCAAAATGAATAACTTCATTACAAATGTCCTTTATTAACAACATGAATGATGTCTATACACATGGGTCTCAGCAGACAGAACACACAGGAATCAAACTGATTACATCTGCAGGAAGAATCTATAAAAAAGCCAAAGATTAGCAGCTAGAGTGCAGAGAATTATTTATGGTTCTTCTAGGCATAATTTTTGTTATTCCCATCAAATGACTGTTCCCTGAAAAGTCTGAGTAAGAAGGTGGGTGGAAGATAATTATTATACAATTCAGCTATGAGTGATTACCATCCTGCTGGGTACAAAGTGAACCATCTCATTAATAGCAAGAGAAGAGAGTCAGGAGTGTAGTGCTTACTCAAGACCCCAAGATCCTTGCACAGTGAACTAACTTTTGTTCCAGGAAGTCAGCTTTGATACCAGAAGGACAGAGTAGTAAAAGCAGCAGCAGAACCAGGAGCAGGCTATGAGACAGTGCCATACATTTCCCATCCCCAAAGCAAGGAAAGTTTGGTGTCTTGGATAAAGGATCTGGCTTGTGGCACATGGTGCTTCTGCAAAGAGCTGGCTCACAGAGCTAGAGTAAAATGTCTTTGGATTGAGGCTGACTGGTGCCTCTAGACATTTAATTCAAGGAGCTGGGCTTGCTGACCCACAGACCTGGAGCTCCGTGCCTTCAGGGTGAAGATTACAGCAGAGTAGCACATATTTTGGTCATCTTTGTAACATGTCTTCAGATGTATTGTAAGCATTTCTGACCTAAATGGTAGCCTAATAAGTTCCATAGTAAACCCCACAAATTGTGAGCATTGTCTGTAAGTTCTGTGTGGCGATTGCAATGAGTTCTAGAACACAGCAGAGAAGTGCTGTGGAAACAAAGAAATGAATGTAGAGGATATTGTGTGAAACACAGCAGCAGCCAGAATGAGGCTGGGGTCAGCTGTGGAACAGATAATCAATTACGTATTTATAAGTTTGGGTTGAAGATAAAGAAAATTCAGATTCACAAGAGCCAACACACAACACCCCACCTGCATTTCAAGAACATCTCAACATCAGATTTGGCACACTGAATGCTAATGACAGGGAACAACAAGTGAACTAAAATCAATAGAGAGAAGAGTGTGGGATGCCTAGTGGGGCTTGATAAAGGGCAGTGTAGCAGCAAGGAATTGCTAGACCCGAATGAGGGCCAAACATGATGGTGTGACAAGAGGAAAGTGAAAGGTAATAGAGGAAAGAATCAGGAGACAAAGAACATTTATAGATGTCTAGATACGGGCACATACATATGTAAATATATTTATATATAATGAGAGGGGAATAGATCTATGTATTTACCATATGAGTATAAGCCGACCTATCAGCTGAGTCACCTAATTTTACCATAAAACTGCATTAAAAATGTGCTGAAAAACTCAGCTTATACAAGAGTATATACAAAATATCTATATGTTAAGAATTAAGGTTGCAGATGGACAATGGGTCTCGACTCAAGTACTCCCTCAACAGAGGTACAGTTTGTTCTAATAATCCAGAATTCTGTTATGTTCACCTTCCCAACACAATAACTAAACACAAAATGGCTGCATAAGCAAATGTGTGAAGAAAGCTGATGGTGCCCGGCTACCAAAAGATATAGCATCTGGGGTCTTAAAGGCTTGAAGATAAACAAGCGGCCATCTAGCTGAGAAACAACCAAGACCACATGGAAGAAGCACACCAGCCTGTGTGATCATGAGGTGTCGATGGGATCAGGTATCAGGCATCAAAGACCCAGAACAAAATCATACCCAATGTGAATTGGGTTGGGGGTGGGGGGGGGAGGAAGTGGAATGGAGACCTGTATTAGTCTGGGTACTTTGGAGAAACAAATCCACAGCAACTCATGTATAAGAGAGAGTTTTATGTAAAGAAAATGTGCATCACGAAAACATCCCAACCCAATGCTGCCCAAGCCCACAAGTCCAACATTAACCCATTAACCCAACATCAGTCTACAAAGTCCTCCACCTCACAAAACAGAGACAATGATGCCGACTGCAGGAGGAAAGCTGAGTCAGTGAATGAATAAGCATCTCAGCACTAGCAGGGGTCTCCACACGGCTGCTCCAGCACCCAGGGCTACATCGGGATAGGTCCTTGTAGCTTCTCCTTGAGGATATCTTGTATGAAGTCAATCTTGTAAGCTGAAGCAGGGAACTGCTAAGGCAGCTGCACCCTGGTGCGACCATCACAAAGCAAGAGATCCAAGAACTAGAAATGCGAGGCTCACCAAGCCATTTATCCCTCCGCACTTCAATTAACCCCATGTGTTTATCGGCCAGGTTGGCACAATTAATTAACTCAAGACCCAAAGCCCATCTGTAGACAACTGGATATCCCCTCACAGAAGGGTCACAGGGAAGAGATGAGCCAGTCAGGATGCAATACAGCACCAATGAAACACACAAATTTCCTCTAGTTCTTTAATGCTTCCTCCCCACCCACCATCATGACCTCAATTGTACCTCACAAATCAGATTAGACCAGAACATGCACACTGCTACAGATAAGAGCCCACAACACAGGGAATCCAGGATAGATAAACCTCTTGGGGCCAACAACGAGAATAAAGACACCAGGAGGATTAGGGGAAGGTGG